GCGAATGTTCGCTACAGCCTCGCTCAACAAACATGCTAGCGAGGTCTGAGGCAATCATTCTGCTTGGCTTCGCCGCAACCTCGCTCAGAGAACATGCTAGCGAGTTCTTGAGGTATGATTCTGTTTGGCTTCTCTACTTGCTCGCTAGGTGCTCGCCTAGCGAGTGCTTCGCTACCCTCCTCGCTACCAGCGAACAATGCCAATGTGCTTCTGCCCAAGTCTGGGAGTGTTCGCTAGCTGCTCGCTATGAGCTCGCTTAGCGAACACTCGCTACTGCTTCGCTCAACGAACATGCTGACGAACTTGCTATTACTTTCAACTTTCTTGGTTCCTTTGTCATCTTTCTTGTGCCTTCAAATCCTACTCTTTCATGCTCAAATACTGCACAATAACACACGAATTAAAAGAACCAAGAGTGTTTCATACTATGATGCATATTAACAAAAGCAAGTCGGTTAAAGCATAAATTAGACAAAAACAGAGTGAAAGATGCCCAAATTTGATAGCTCAAATAAGCACAATTGGGCATCTAACAGCGGCCTGGTCGTCGTGGCGACGGGCTTTAGGACTCATACCGTTAGTGTCTCCATGGGGGAGAGCGTGAACATCGGTCTTTCTCCAATGCGCTAATCCTTTTATTTTGTTGGCAGATCAACGCGTTGGTCTGATTAAGCGTTACGAACATGGCCGCCATAGTCGGGTCGACGTTGGGTGGTACTGGAATTGGTTGAAATTTCTATGGTGTCTTCTCTGAAGCTTTCTAGACTTCGTGAGTTTCGACGTATTGGATGCCATTGTCAGCTGCATTGTCGGAGGAGGGGGAGGCGGTGCACTCGTCTCTCCTCGGTGGAGTGCATTCCTCCAAAAGTGACATACCATTGTTGTTGTCAGCGTTATGGACGGGAGAGAGGATGGTTTCATGACTGTTGTTATTGTTGTCGTGTTGGCCATCCATGATCGGTTTCTGAGGTTTTTTGTTTTGATATTTTGGTTTCAGGGAAAGAAACGATGGGGAAAACACTTTTCCACAGACGACGCCACTGATTCGACCAGTTGATCAGAATAGGTGAGTGGCCAATAACACGTCCGTAGTCTTGAACGATCGACGAGAGGAATTGTACCTGCAAGCATTACAATGCTTAAGTCAGTTTGGGTGAGAGGTAAATAAGAAAGGGTTAAAGAATAGAATATCTGACCCTCCTGCAGAGGAGGGTTTTTATAGTGAGTCCCAAGCGCTTGACCAATGGTCTCTATTATGGAATGAGTGTTCAAGCCCACAACGGATGATTGTTAGGATTCATACATGAAATTAAGGATGAATAACTCGTACTCATCGTCCTGAGTCAACCGCTCTGCACTTCCCGGATAATGGATGAACTTGCCCGTTACGAAGGGCAATGGCTCCGCGAGGTGTGCGGGTTTAGTTGGTGACATGTCCTTGGGTGAGGAGCACATGAGGAACGTGTTCTCCATTGACCCCAACATTTTGGGCCAACACTCTGCGCCATCCTCGACGTAGAACTAGATTGGGATGTGCTCGACGGTGGGCCAGCTATATGCCTAGTCCAGAACATGTTCATTATTTTTGTTCTAAGTTCTCACCTTGTTGTTTTGGGTAGCAAATGATTTTCATTTTATAAATCCAATTCAAATCTCCCATTTTCTTATGTTTCCATTACCTTCAGGAAGATCACATTCTCGATAACCTCCAACTATTTCCAATGAAAAACTCAAGTATGTTTCTGCTTTCATTCTCTGATTAAATTCTATGAATGAAAAATTCATGAGTTGATAGATTATCGACTCATAGAGATTAATTTAGATTTATGTTCTTGATTTCTATATCGATAGAAATGATAAGGTTATGAACATATATAACACTTAAGACACCCAATTTAAAACTCATTAAATATTAAAAATGACTTAGTATTTAATTATTGGATTAAATATGTTTGTGGTCCAACTAAATATTTCAAATTTCGTTTTTAGTCACTTAAAATATTTCTTTCAAAGGATGATCCTCTTAAAATTTTTCCTCAGACTTTTGGTCTGTAATGCTAAAATTGTCGCTAAATTAATAACCGTCACTAAAACCCTCGTTAATTCTGTCGCTAAATTGTAAGAGGGACCAAAAATATAGATTAAAAATTGTATGAGAACCATTTAAAAAAAAATTATTTGAGACACTAAAAACGAAATTAAAATATTTATGAGGACCATAAATATATTTAATCTTTAATTATTTGTTTATACTTAAATACATTATATATATATATATATATATATATATATATATATATATATATATATATATATATATATATATATATATATATATATATATATATATATATATATATATATATATATATATATATATATATATATATATATATATATATATATATATATATATATATATATATATATATATATATATATATATATATATATATATATATATATATATATATATATATATATATATATAAATCAGATATTCTGTATGTAAAATTTTAAAGGTTAATCATGTGGAGGCAAATCGCCACACATCACATAAGTCTGCAAGACATTGGTTAATGCAGGTTTCGATGATGACAAAGTCTCTGGATAGATTGGAAATTATGAACTCCGGATCTACTAAAACAGATGCAACGTATCACCCACCATATCCTTTTATATTTGTCTTAAAACTGCTGAAATGAATATACTATGTGTAGATAAAATGCAATCATGACCAAAGGCATGAAAGACCTCAAACTGATGAATTTTTGCAGGTTTGCAGGGCATGAGTCGACCATAGGGTCGACGCATGCATCAGAACAATTCTGCACTAGGCAACGCACAAGGCAATGAGTCGACCATAGGGTCGGCGCATGAAGGAATAACTTTCCAACGGCTCTTATATTTGAAATACTGTTATGTCTAGAATTATGTTGGCACTATATATACTTGTTTAACCACTTGTGTCATTTTAACATTTGATATTCTTTTGATTCATGTGTTCAAAAACAAGAAAGAGTGAAATAGGTGTCCAAGATTCATCATCTTCATCTTCAACATCTCAAAACATTTCAATTACACAAAATCATTTTTGAAATGCTTTTGTGAGAGATTCAAGGTGATAAGGTTCGAAGCTTAGATTGGAGAATCAAGTTCGAGTTGAAGCTTGTGACAGGTTCTTTCTTGAATAAAACCGTTGAGATTTTGCCCTCCAAGATTGGTTTGAATTTTGGGGGTTTTTGGACGAGATTCTTCATCAAGAGTCAACCGAGCGAAGGTGATTGTGAAGAGGTGTTCTTCACAAGTCTAGTAGCAGATTCAGTGATTTTGAAGGAAGATCTCGGGGTCGATTTGGTGCTGTTGAGATCAGCCGGAGCCGAAGGTTTGAATAATAAAGTGTTATTCAATAAGGTGGCTGGAGTCGGAGGTCCATCAACACAAATCGGAGAACTTGATTCATCTTGAATCAAGGGGCAAGGAGTGAAGGCAACTTTCAACACATTGAGATTTTTGTTGTATATTTGCTGCTCAATCCTTGTATAAACTGTTACATTCAACAGGTGATATCTATAAAATCTATCTCAATTCTAATTTTAGAATTGAGGGCAGACGTACCCCGAAGCGAGGACGACGGGGGAACTGCCTCACCAAATACTTGTCTTCTCTATTTTCAGCATTTACGTTATAGCTCAAAATAAGTGATTTTTGTATAAGCTCTATTGTCAAAATTGTGATATCAATTGAGTAAGAGGTTAAAACTCTGTTTTTGACTCCAAAGGCTTACGCATATCCAGTTTTCCAATAACCGTTCGTTTTAGACTATATTTTTCCTCGGCCGCTTCCGCACTTAAAATATTTTTAAAACCAATTTTAAATTGGTAGCGCCGACTCAAATTTTAATGGGGGATCTATTCAACCCCCCTTCTAGATCCGTGCCATAGTCTAACAAATCACTTAACTTCAAGAGTATTAGAATGAATAATAAAATCTTCTCTCAAAAAATAAAGCGTTGTTGCATGTTCATAGCTAAATTCAAATTCAAAATAATAATATAGTTAAATTTGAATTAAATGTTTTTAGTTAAGTTAACAGATATCATTTATCAATTATTTTGACTTATAAACACACACAATAATGTGTCAATAGATATATCATAACTCATAATACAACCACAAACAAGTTTTATACCCTCCATACTGTAGCTCTTATGAAGGCATATATATAACTGACCATGGATTGAATGGAGTAATTCGCGCGCGCGTGTATATATATATATATATATATATATATATATATATATATATATATATATATATATATATATATATATATATATATATATATATATATATATATATATATATATATATATATATATATATATATATATATATATATATATATATATATATATATATATATATATATATATATATATATATATATATATATATATATATATATATATATATATATATATATATATATATATATATATATATATATATATATATATATATATATATATATATATATATATATTGAAAATCTGAGATTTAAATTATGGCCAAAATTAGAAAATTTTGACCAGTTGGATAATTTTTAAATGACTAATTTTATTTGTATAAGATCCTTTTCTTAAGCTAGATTGAATGGATAAAAAATAGGCAAAGAAAACACAACGGTTATCCACTCAATATCTCCTAAATATAGAAGCACAATTTTCACATCGTCAATCTTTTCAACCATTATATAAAGCATTCAAGTTCTTGCAAAAAGATCACTCACACACCCTAAGAATATGCTGCTTAGACACTAAACATTTCTTGGTTTAATTGGCATTGGTGCTAAGGTCATTTAATTCTAAAATTAAAATTAATCCTTAGACCTTAGAAATCCTTGCCATAAAAACCAAGAAAAATATCATATAAATCATATAAATTTTTGCAAAACCAACAATAAAAAAATAAATTATATATTCAAGCATTGTAATAATAATGGCAAATAAAATTGCCATAATTTTCTTGGTTTTTGCTATTACTATTCCATGCTTTGAAGCTGGTATTGCTGAGTTTGATGATTATCTTAAAGCACAAGCTAATTTAGCTCATGATATTGCTCTTAAGTCTTATATTCCCGATCCCGAAAATATTTCAACTAAGATCACTCATCATGTTCATATGTAATTTCTATAACTCTTCTCTTGTTATATGATCGAATGTATGATATGTTTATTCATATTCAATATCATGTTTTGGTTCTAAGTAGTCACAATTTTGAGGTTGTGAATGTATGCTTCCCTTGTCTGACCAAGATTGAACAATCCGTATAAATTTTTAATTTGGATCGTCTAATCTTGACAGAATGATCGATCAAGATATATATAATTTTAATGAATTTGGAAAATTGATTAATCTTGAATTGTATTCAGGGAAAAGGAAAAGTCATTGACAGGAGAATATTCAAATAACACAAGGAGGGGACTAAGAGGATATGGACGCCGCGGTGGTAGAGAACAGCACTAATGCAAGATATATCTCTCTTAGAAAAGAAAATTTGCAGTTTTAGTCATCCCAAACTCACTTGTAACAATGGTTGTTAAAATCTAAGTATTTCTCAAAGGACCACATTTTAAATTCTAAAGTTGGTAGAAATCCTAGATATCTTTGGAGTAACTTTCACAAAGTTTAATGGATGTTGGGTAAGTCCTAGAGGACAATGATTTTATGATTGAACTTAAAATTTGTATCATATTTATTACATGTAATAAAAGTCTTTTCTTTGTGATGTTTATTTTCAAAGCAATAAATTCTTTATAACAATTAGTTCATTTAATGGATCATTAAGTGTAGCCTAATTGTTTGGAGATAAAAAATATAAGAATGTCATTTTAAAAGTATACGTAGTTAAACATTATTCTCAAATAGGATGTACAATACTAATGCGTAAAGACTATTATGTCATTAGTCTGAAGACTATATCCACTATAAAAAAAGCTAATATTAGTTAGGGGCATTAGCTAGGAGTAAAGTTCTTCACTAAAAAAACTAAGTTGTTTGGAGTTAAACCCCTCCCAATGCATAAAATAGAAAGTAAAAAAAAACATAAAGCAATTTTTAGGGGATACCCCTCACAAAAAAGGGGAAAAATATTTTGAATTTTGAAACTTGCATTTATTAGGGGTCAGTGCGAAAATAGACTAACAATAGTTCAATTTGCGAAGGGATGACCCTTCACCAATTTATGATATGCCTTTTGCGAGGGGCTTCCTTTTACCATTGTCAAGGTTTTAGTCAAATCAAACTGAAAAAATATTTATTCATGCATAAAGGCCTGCTACTGGACATAAAGGGGACTACAACACATTATTACTAGCTAGAGATATTTCCTCGCAAATTATACCTATTAAATGCAAGTGTCTCTCATTTAATACCATACGCTGGTATCTCAATATTGTTTTCTTTTCTTCTTTCTGATTTTGTTGCTTCCTTCTTCTTCCATTCTTCTTCCACCATTATGTACATTTCATACAACTTCATTAAAGTTAATTCTTTTTTCTTTCAAATATTCTATAAATTTTAGGTAAATGTTTTTGTTATATTATAACTTTTTTGTTGCATGTATATTTTGTAATTAATTTTATTTTTTAGATTTCTCAATTAATTTTTTTATTTATTTGTTGTGTTGCATGTATACAATTGTTGTTTATGTTATTTATACTATTTTTTTTAGATTTCTCAATTAATTTTGTTGTTTATACTGTTTATATTATTAAAAAAAAGATTGTATATTAAATATTTTAGAAAAGATAATAGTGTATATATTAAATATTGTTTAAAAAATAGATTATATATTAAAATGTGGAAAATAAATACATAACGTGAATGAAAACAGATTTATTAAAATATTTATGTAACAGATTTTAAAAATCAGATTATATAATAAATAATGTTTTAAAAATAGCATTAGTAATTTATTTATAGAAAATATTGTTTAAAAAATAGACTATATATTAAATACATTATTTAGAAAGTATATATTTTTAAAATATTAATATATTTTAATAATATATTTATAGGAAATATGTTATAATATGTAAATTTGTAGAAACATGCATATTATATATTTTAAAGTATGTAACTTTGTAGAACCATATTATATAATATCATAAATATATAATTTGTAAGTTAAAATATATTATAAGTATGTAAATTTGTAGAAACATATTATATAATATTGTTATGTATTTTATTATCTATAATTTGTAAATTTTAATAATAATATTATATTTATTAGCTAGGGGTTAAACTCACAAATTTCAAAATGTAAGTTAATTTGTTAGGGGTTTCACTCCTCGCAAAAGTCTGACACAAACAGCTAGGAATTTTACCCTTCACTAAATGTAAAACGCAGGTGTTTTAGCTAGGGGTTTATCCCCTAGCAAATCAACTGACATGTCTGTGTCATTTTGTGGCACTAGTCTTTGTCTATGCCTGTAGGCTGAATTTTTTTAATGGCAATTTGTGAGGGGCTTATTTCCTAGCCAAATTTGCGAGGGGATTATCCGCTAGCCATATATTTACGATGCCCCGATTAGCTAGGGGTTGTGTCCCACATGCAATAAATATGAGATATCAAGTCTTCACATATTTGTAAAATTTAGAAGTAATATTTATACTAGATTGACCCACCATGAGAATTCTACATATTGTGTTATTTAAGTGTCATATGTTATTCTCATAGCGCTAATGGTGTATGTCACCCTTTGACTTAAAATCACTATAGTCTATACTTGAGGACTTGACCATTTTAGTATTGTCAAACATTGTCTATAAAAAAACAGTTATAAAGTCAGTTGACTGTATACTCAACGATTCACATGGAGAGACATAGGTAACCTAGATGAGATTTCCCTCATACATATACATGAGTAGTATCTACAAGTCCATTGATTGAGCATGACTGTAAAATGATGGCCATAATGATATGATTCAATGTGTAATTTTGAACTTATTTATTATTCCTAACAATACCCGGGTACCATAGAACTATGTTTTGTGAAATCACATGACATCCTCGTTACTTAGGTAACATTGACTTGTTGCTAAACACCAATCTCTGTTTATAGTATGAAATAGATGATTTAATATTATTGTGAAAGTTACGATAACCTAAATAGTCACACGCATAAGGATATATATGCAAGAGATTAAATAAATGAGTAAGATTCATTTGTGATTCATTGGTGCATTCTTACGATGCTCTAGCACTAATTAGAGAAACATGGGGCATTATAAGCTACAATGTATACAACTGGTTATATAATGTAACACTTTTACCAAAGTGACAGTTCACAAATTCGCGTACTCTTAAAACCCTAGTTGCACTAGGATTATAAGTTTGTATTTTGGGTTGTGGAAGTGAATATGCAACCAAACTTACTTCAATAAAAGTATGCAACAACATTAAATGTTGATGCATTGATGTCTGCATGCCTAATAGAAGTTGAGAAGACTGATATGGTGGATACAACAAAAAATGCCAATATGTTATGCCTCAAAGATAAAGTTCTAATGGAATTCACATGTGATAAGATCGTGACTTAGTTGCGGGAAAACTTGAATCAATGTATATTAAAAAGTCTTTGGCTTAAAGGCTATATCCGAAACAACAACTATACTAATTCATAAATCTATATTGCGGCTGTCGCGGTTCAACGTGTTTAAGTACAAAACTATGTTTTTAAAAATCAAGTGCTTCTAATTAACTAAAAAGTCGCTTTGGGTGAAATTTTTTTTTTAAGGTGATACCGGATGTCGCTCGCATAGCACCAAACCCAAATTTACAAATGCCTGCTGTCGCAACACATTTATTCATCTAAGCTCTATTTTTGAAAATAATTATTTTTTGCAATTTAAAATAAGTCTTGCTGTCGCAATTGGTTTAAAATAAAATCTAATTTTTATTTCTTAGTTTAGATACACGTTCCTCTTTTTCAAAACGGAACCGATACCTCTAAATTTAACGCTTTCGCAGTAATTAAATCCAATTTAAAACAACATAAAAATCTGCCCAAAAAACGAGTCCTAAATTTAACCGGCAGTTTACAACTTAGATGCTAGTACCGTCAAAACGATGATCCTCAGGTTTCGGACCCTAAACGGTTTAGCCGGACATATTTGACATAATATTCATGATATAATTAAGATGTGTGCAAAAACAAACGTTAAACATAATAATAATGATGATAAGAAGTGACAACAACGACTAGCATGTATATATATATATATGTGTGTGTGTGTGTGTGTGTGTGTGTGTGTGTGTGTGTGTGTGTGTGTGTGTGTGTGTGTGTGTGTATGTGTGTGTGTGTGTGTGTGTGTGTGTGTGTGTGTGTGTGTGTGCGCGCACGCGCGTGTGTATGTGATACTAGTAGGTGATGATAATATATGAAATTTAAAATAAAAAAGTAGCAACTGAGAATAATAGAACAAATAAAAACAACATTATAATATTAGAATACTCTAAAATTAATATGGCGGCAAGCTTAAATTATGAACGATCCAAGTACAAGCATGAAACTTCAGAACCTTAAAGTCATGATGTACTTATTACTCAATGTGAGCAATTAAGCACTTCTAAAATAAGTGATTCTTCTGCCTACTTGATACTAGCAAACTTCGATCTGAAAAACTTAAAAAAACTAAGACTATATATAGTGTTCCAACTGCTGAATATAGAGTCAAGTCGTGTAGGAGTTGTGTGAGAAAAATATGGTGAAGTTGGAGAAGACAGAGTAATTCAGTTGCTGATTTTATGGACACGAAGCCCATGGCAGACGCCATGGCCTCATGGCGAACGCCATGAGTGCAATGTGGGGGACGTAGCTGATGAAGGGGCAATGCCGAATGCCATGCCCAGTGGCTAACGCCAAGAGTACTAATGCGTCCTCCATTAACTTTCTTCATGCTGAGGTGTTCCTTTTCTCCGTTTTGGCCATTCTTTCTCTGTTTTTCTCATGTGCCAACTCCTACTTGAAAAACACCTGCAACAAGACAAAAATACCAAGATAACACTACATAAAAATATGAAATGGGTATAAAATGGACTAAAATATACGTGTATCGAGTCAGAAATATG